GGGGGGGGGGGGGGGGGGGGGGGGGGGGGTAAATGGGCATCAAAATCGAGGACGACCTAAAAAAACAAATACCACGTTAAGCAAAAAAGCCACACACCAGAGTTACCTGGAAACCACCAACTGGAGTCATGAAAGACACGACACCGCAACAACAGCAACAAAACGTCACAACAACAATTTTGGAACCAAGAACCCACACATTCTACCCACACATTCTACGAGTGTGCTAAATAGCGAGTGAGAGTGTCTCCCTCTTATCAGCCGGTTAGCCCGCAAAAGCAGTACTGCATGCAAGACAGACGTAATTCTCATTTGGTCAGCCGAATAGCGTGGTCTTTCGAGAACACACAAACGCACACAAAACATACACGACCCTCCCTCACGCGGGGTCTATATTCAACGGTATACAACAAGCGCCTTCTACTTCATATGTAGCCGCACTGAGACTGACGTCTTTTCATTTGGTCAGCCGCATAGCGTGGTCCAATAGAAGAAACACACGAACACACCTGATGTCTATTCATTTGGTCAGCTGCTTTAGCGTGGTTCAATTCAAGAAACAACACGCACACACACACCCTGGCGTCTTTTTATTTGGTCAGCAGTTTAGCGTGGTCCATTTCAAGAAACACACACACCGCGTTGAGACTGACGTCTTTTCATTGGTCAGCCGGTAAGCGCGGTCGATGCTAAGAATAAAAACACACTCAAAACACCCACACCTTCAGCCGCAGCTCTAGCTCGATCTGATTCGCTTCGGCCGGGATGAGGGTCTTGGAGCCTAGTAGGAAGGAAACCATCAGCTCTGCCTCGGGATCATCGGGCACTGTTTCCTTGACCCTCAGCAAGCGTTCCCTTAGCACGTACCAAGGCTCGCCCTCCTTGTCTTTGGGGGAGAAGGGGCCGGAGCCACGATTCACCCGCACGAAGCAACAGTGGAGGGTGCTGATCAGGGTCTTGACATTCTGAGAGAGCGGGGGAGAGAGAGAGAGAGAGAGAGAGAGAGAGAGAGAGAGAGAGAGAGAGAGAGCGGGGGGGGGGTGGAGACAAAGAGACAGATATAGGATTGAGATATATGTAGAGAGAGAGAAAGAGACCAACAGACACAGAAAGCGAGATACAAAGGAAGCAGAGAAAGAGACAGACACAGAGAGGAACACAGAGGTAGAGGGAGAGAGAGAGAGAGAACGAGAGAGAGAGAGAGAGAGAGAGAGCGAGAGAGAGAGAGAACGGGACACCATCCCATCCATCAAAAAACACCAGCGCGCGTGACAACAAAAAAACACACACACACACTTCTTTAAGCCACACTCAGACCATCGAATTTTCATTCGTCAGCCGGATATCGCGATCGATGCTAGCAAAAAAACACACAAACACAATACATACCTGGCTTTCATCGTTCATGAGGATGCAGAGGGCGGGGTTCCGCAGGTGTCGGACGATCGACACCGCCTCCTGCGGGGCCAGCATGACTACGCGGCACATGCCCGGGGACCCCTTGGGGACGACCCCTTCCGCCGAAGGCTTCTTGTCCCACCACGGGCAGTCGAGGGCCCAACGCACCACGTCTGTGGCACCCATGGCCTTCATAATTTTTTTTGGTCACGATAAGGCATAATTTAAATAACGTTCGTACGGCAAAAAAAACACAGAGCGAGAGAGAGAGGGGGGGGGGAGGTTCGTGTGGGTGATAGCGCCGTCATCATCATCGTGGGGGGGGGGGCACGCGGATAGGACCATAACCAAACCGGCCGGCAAGACAAGTGCGCGCTGCACGTGAGAGCCCGAATACTGCTGTTGTCGTCGACACTTGCTGAGGCAAGCGATTCAAATGATAAATGTAACCGCTGTTGAGGAAACTGTCAGGCATACATAGGCATACATACACGGGACCGCCAAACAGGAGAAAGAGATGGTGACATGTCGGTCAACACCGAAAACGCACACAAAGGAGAGGGGTTCGACGGACCGTGCGATGAAAGTTACACCCAAAGGAGACCGCGTGGCAAGCAGACCTTCAGCTCGATAGGATCGTCAGCGCACGCATTCGGGTGCGAGACGCTCAAGCTACATACCCCCCCCACCCTTTCCCTACCCCTCCCACCTCAGTCCTGAACAGGGACAACCCCCCCCTTTCCCTACCCCTCCCACCTCAGTCCTGAACAGGGACAACAGGTGCATGTGGACATCCAGCTGATCCACAACGTTCGAGTCGAAAAGCCCCGTGGAATAATTCCTGTGCAGGTGTTCCACAAGCTGCCAGTGTGGTAACGGAGAGCGACAAAGGGGGTGAGCTCTTTGTACCTACTGTACCTAGGCCCGTAACGTTCGTTGTTTTCTTCAGGTCTGTTCACGCGGTGCGAGCCAGCGGTGCGGCAGGAAACACTCTCTCTCAGCAGACGCTGAATGAGAGGCAAAGAAGAGGGCGAGGACCAGACGCAAGAGAGAGAGAGAGAGAGAGGGAGAGAGCAACATACCGCACACCTGTTACCACGAGGCAAAAAAACTGCGGGGCATACGCGAGGGCAGGAGAAACACAACAACAGCCGTGATACGTACACAACTGTAGCCCCCTCCTTGCCACGCTTTGGTAGATTTTTCTACCAACGAGTTACCTACAAGATTGGTCTATCTATCTATCTATCTGTAGTCAGACGGACCTCGCGAGTGTGTGCCGCATCGAACTTGAGAAACCTCAGCGAGTGGGAAACTAGGCGGGCGAACGAAGCCGGGGTATAGGGAGAAACTCGGAGCTGCTGCTGGCCCCCTTCCAAAACCTTCGGACACTGGCGACACGGAAGAGAGAACAGCACGGCAACAGCACCACCAACGCCGAAGCAAGAAGAGAGACAGAGCGCGCGGGCGGGGGGGGGGGGGGAGGGGGGGACCCGTGACGACTGGATGCAGCAGTCTGGGATAGACGGGGGTGAAGGGCGGAAGACAGCAACAAACACGGTCGGCCAAAAGGGAATTGCTACATACGGAGTGTTTGCTACGTACAGCAGTAGGGGGGCTCGCAGATTGTGCCGATAAATACCCGCCGAGGCTACCAGAACTACACGGGGCACTCCGTATTATTCAGAGACAGTTTCTTCAAAGCTTTCATCCGTGTCACACGATCTCACTGGCACTACAAAAAGCCGGGCCGTGGCACCATCCAACCAACGCTATAATCCGAGGCTCATGGCACATGCAGCACTTCCTTCTCTACCGAAAAAGGCGAGACTAACCCAGAGATGGAAAAAAAAAAAAAACAGCCAGAGCTATGCATCGTGCGACACGTGGCCGCGTTGTCAGGCCACAACACTGGGCGCGAGGATTCAATTAGCCCACGGAGTGTGCACGCAGCGCCAAACGAGAAAATCGACCGATGCCGCCGGGACGACCGCATCGTGTCAAGGGAGGTACGCCGAGCACAGCAAGATAACCCAGGGGATACGCAGATTGAGGCCAGTGGAGCGGGTATATGGCATCACGTCGTTCTCCCGCCTCGATACTACGACCGCGACAAAGAGTACGATATCGCAACCATGTGCACGGGGTGGGGTTGATAACACAACACACGCAAGCTTACCACACGCACCCATACACATATTGGAGGTACATGCCGAATCACCCAAAGCACCAAGAAGGAGGCGGGGGGGGGTTGTGGGTTGTTGACCATTCGACGACACAAACAAAAAAAATGTCACTCACATTTGCGGTCTCAACATAAAGGCTACGCGTCATAAACAACCAGAACGGAAGCATCATGTCCGCAAATTCCTCCGGGGATAGGTCCGCTCGCGGGTGGAGGGTAGTGGCGACACGGTCCTGCGTTGTTTGTCGCCGGCGCCGACGTCGTCGTTGTTACGTGTTGTGCGGTCGGCGGCGGCGATTGAGAAACAGAAAGGTACCGGCAAGAGCAAGGGGCACGCACAGAGGACGGGAGGGGGGAAAGCGGCCTTCAACACGAGGACAAGGTTAAGGCGTTTAAGGCAGGCTCCCGCGTGGCGTGTCCGTAAGAACGGTGTGCGTGCGGCGGGTTTCTCGTCGACGTTAGAAGACAACACAAGACACACAGAAGCAAATACTTTCCCGGGAAAAGGCCGGGGAGACAAAGACGCTCATAGACTAGGTGTCGTCGACACGCGTGACGATTGCCTCCCAGGCAAGATGCTGAACGGAAATGACGAGCGAGACTCTTGGGAGCAGTAAGTGCGCAACCAGCCCCTCCAGCCCTTTTCCCTGTCCCGAAGCGTGCTCTCGCTCCTCTGCCTCGCACGTACCACCATCTCAAGATGATGAATTCACTCTCTTTTTCCTGGCATGCTCCCCTATCGCGTATGTTCTCTTGGATATCCCCCACACACACACCCTTACTTCGTTGCTGCTACCTTCTCTTGGGACACCCCTCCCAAAATAAACTTATTTCGTTGCTTTCTGCCTTCTTTTCTATTGAACCCTCCCCTGCCGGGGTTGGGTTTTCGTCGCTTGGCAACGACGTTGTAAAACAAGCCAATTCACTTCGTGAACTCGGCAACCAGGTTACCGGAGTTTTTTTTTTTACCTCTTTTTTTTTGGCGGTAACCATAATGGTGGTCGAGTAGATCATGTTGTGCGGGGTGGAGAAACCTCATTCCGCGCAAGGGGGATGATTGCACCACGTTGTGTTTAAAATGGTCAGGCATCCTGGAGGCGGTTACGCAGTGCTTACAACTGTCTCTGGAAGTGAAAGCACCAGAAAATACATCACGTCATACGCAGCTGTCATCCGTACGCAAGGAAGTAAGCACGAGATGCCGACCACCCTCAGCAGGATGCAGCGCACCCTTCATGCGACTCGCCGAATACCTCACGGCGCTTCGCGCTTGGTGATGTGAGAGCCTGGTCCGGTGAGAACCCGGCGTGCTCCGTCCCGGCTTTGTAGGGATGCGAGGTCAATGGTCTAACGACTACGGCATGCACCACTATGAGTACACCCCCCCCCCCCCCCCAAGCCCCTTTCTTCCGTTGCCTGTTTCACCTTGGATGCGACGAAGGCACCGGCGCGCTGGTCAATGAGGCAGACCTGCTTCCAGGCGAGGCGGAGGCGCTGGCCGAGGTCTCCGATGTCGGCGTTCTTCTTGTTCGTCTTGGCAGCTCGGGCGGCCTCCAGCATGGTGTGGAAGTGGCCCACGGCGGGCGCGACGCCGCTCACGGGAACAACACCTGGTATAGTATAATAGGGTGATGTTTTCGTCGTTGTTGTGTGGATTGGATTGGATTGGATTGTTGTTTCGTTCGTTCGGTCGTTCGTTCGTTCCTTGTCGTTTCTCGGGAAAGAACGCATGGTGGTGTAAGTAGACCGTCCGTGATGAAAGTAAGAAAGCAGGGCGAAAGATACCAGAGAGAGAGAGACAGAGCATGCATAGATAGACAGACAGACAGGCAGACAGACAGACAGGCAGGCGGAAAGAGACAGGCGATGAGAGAGAGAGGGCGAGACGCACAGACAGACAGACAGACAGACAGACAGACAGAGCGAGCGAGGGCGCAAAGACATGCCGAACCCCAGAAAAAACAATAACACCACTTACGCGACCCTCTCCATCCCCCGCATAACTAACCTCACCGCCGCTTACCGAGAAGCAGTGCGCACTCCTGGACCTTAGTGGTGCACCAGTCCTCGTCCGTCAGAGCGGCGTAAGCAGCGGCGGCCATCTTGGTCTCCTTCTTCTTCATTTTTTTCTTATTGCCCTTGGCGTCCAAGCCCTCCACGGACCTGACTCACGCGCGCGCGCGCGTCACAGCAGCGTCGGATGGATTGGCGTTAGTATCGAAGTACGGGAGAAGCATGCATCTCGGCGATGCCAGAGGCATCCCCCTGGAGTAGAAACCCATCGCCAAAGAGCACTCGGGATGGCGCTACACGTTGGGTGCGCAACAAACAGTCGTACTTGTCTTCCGCGTTGTAGTCCCGGACGGAGGAAATCGCTCATCACGCCCCCCCCCCCCCCCCCTCTCCGGGGTTGGGGCCTAATCCCCCCCCCCCCTTTTTTTTTT